GGAAAGAGTTGTCAGTGGAGCTGGTATGTCAGACCATCCGTGCAGCATCAGTGAAAAGTCAAATAGGACACGGCGTGCGTGTTTTGATGTGCTTCCACTTGCGCAGCGTCGTCGGAGGCTACATGTTTACAATCTTGGACTGCAGCCCTGTGGTGTCCGTAAACCGTCGGCCTTTTGCGTTGATATTGTCCCAGGTAATAGATAAATACATTTAAAAACTCATTATGATTTTTGTTGAACAGCTGGATAAAATCAGAATTGAAAGGATTCGATCAGGATCAGCTGCAATCATCTGTCAGTGAGATAAGTTTTCTCTCTGCTCGCATATCTTGTGGTTTGAATTGGTTTACTTGGAAACGTGGAGTGCTGTTGATTCGGAAATACACTCGATAGTAGGGGGGCTTATGGTGTTCCGCTGTGAGGCCAAAAATGACAAAGTCATGGTGGATTTGCGTGCAAATGTTCAGACTTCTGATCATGTGAATTCTGCATGTATTTTTCCTTAATATGCGTCTCTGTTTAACTGCTTGCCTCCATCCTGTCAGATGGAAACAGTTCAAAACAGTGTCCGTGTCATATGTATTAAAAATGCTTTAAGCAGAGTAAGCCGCACGTGCATGGCTCTAATTCTTGGATCTTGTTTGCTACATGTCTCCTTATAGCCTGATGATTTTTGGGGAGTGGGTTTATAGTGGAGTCTTCCACAGTGACACTGATTTACTGGTTGTTTAATGTTAGTGTGTTTAGTTTGACTATGATAAATTAATAATTTATAATCATTCTATCTTAGATTTTTAGGACCACTAATAACCAACCAAATAAACCTTGTGTAAAATATCAAAATCACCTCTTCAATTTCCCTCACTCGGCATTCATTTTTTTTCTTCCTTGTTTTGTCCATCAGAGGCGAATATGACGACATCATTTGGCAAACCAGACCCTGGGAAACACCTACTGTCAATTCAGTTCGTTTGAAACCAAACACGACATGATGCGTTGTCCCCGGTGAAACTTGCTCCGCCACTCTCCCCTCTTCTGCGCACCTATTGAGAGAGAGGACACCAAAAGCTGCATAGACATGGGTTCAGATCAACCCTGCATGGATTCTCCAGAGCCAAGACCCATATTGGGTCCTGCCTGTAAGCAGCTGGGCCGTCGGTGTCTGAGGAAAAAGTTCAGGCCCACACGAATCTTGGGGTTGGCCTTCAGTCTGGTGGCCTTAAGTGCTGTCTCCTACAGTGCCTTTGCCTGGAACTCAGGAGGTGTCAGCGAGCCAGTGCTCCACCAGGAGAGTCTCCATCAGTCGGCCCCACACAGGACCCTACTTTTTACCCAACACCAGAGAGACCCCAACGTGTCAGCTGACATGCCAATAGCCATGAAATCTACAGCAGATAGCAACGACAGCCAGGGGGAGTACCCACCAGACATTTTTACCCTCTCCCAGAGGCGCCAAGGAGCAGTGGTCCTCCACATGTTTGGCATGATCTACATGTTCATCGCGTTAGCCATCGTGTGCGACGAGTTCTTTGTCCCGGCGCTGACAGTCATCACAGAAAAGCTGACCATTTCCGATGACGTTGCGGGCGCCACCTTCATGGCGGCGGGAGGATCAGCTCCAGAACTCTTCACCTCCATCATTGGCGTTTTCATCTCGCACAGCAACGTGGGCATCGGGACCATCGTGGGCTCGGCCGTCTTCAACATCCTCTTTGTCATTGGGATGTGCGCCATCTTCTCCAAGGAGATCCTCAACTTGACGTGGTGGCCGCTCTTCCGTGACGTATCCTTCTATATCCTGGATCTGATCTTGCTCATCATCTTCTTCCTGGATAACATCATCTCCGTGTGGGAAAGTATCACGCTGCTCACGGGCTACGCCGCCTATGTGATCTTCATGAAGTTCAACAGCAATGTCGAAGGATTTGTCAAAGATTGCATGAACAAGAACCAAGTGGTAGAAGTAGAGGTACAACCCAAGGT